CCCCCGGAACGCTTCACCCCCCCCCCCCCCCCACGCCCTCCTCTTACCCCCCAAACAACCCCTGAAGACTTAAGGCTGAGCCCATGTGACTGTGCAGTGATCTCCGACGCACCGCAAGATTGATGATGGAAATGTTGCTCACAACGGTTTTAAACGCCACAAAGAGGATTAGACGGCCTGCCGGAACAATGCATTCTGAAATCCACCTCCTTTCACCCACTCCTCTGTTTCGCTCCAGTTAGCCGGGGTGAGGACGGCACGGGGGCGGCGCAGCGCCTGAGCTGGGATCGATCCACTACAGCAGGCGAATCTGCTTTGCGAAATCACTTCTAATCAGTTTGAAATGATTAACACATCACGCAATGAAAAAAAAAACACACACACACACACACACACACACACACACACACACACACACAACGAAGCAGGGTCATATGGGGTTCCATTTGTATAAAAAATAAGTAGAAGTCATATGTGCAGCTTGTACTATTCTGTTTTGCTTCACTCTTTATGCAGAGCGGTTTTTTGCGATGTGTTTTCAATTACGGTTTAATGATCAATTTTACTTTTAAAATATTACGGTTAAATTCCAGTGACCCATCCTTAATTGAGTCGACCCCTAAACTGACAATGGGTCTTTGAGTCCTGCAGGACAACAATCCGAAATATGCGAGCAATTCAACACGGAAATAGTTTATATCATCCCACCAAATGAACGTGTCCAAATCAAAACGTAGCATTACTGCAATGACAGATTCATTTACTTTAAGGCTGCTTGCAAATCTTTACAAGGGTTGCAGAGAAATATCGCCAATACGTAATTCTAAGAACATTTACGTAAATCGCCTGGTGGATCTACTGTCAGAATGTGAGAAAAATTGGCATTTTGCTAAAAAAAAAAAAAAGGAAAAAAAAGAAAGAGTCACAGATGAGATACTCTGTGTGAAGTGAAGGCTTTTTGCTGGCAAAATAAACATCCACAAAATGACACAGCAGAGGGAGGGAATGCAAAACAGTCCTTTCAGGCTGTGCTCCAGTTATCGTCCTCGTTCTCGTGCTTTCCACTTCGTCCCGCTGCCAAACTTTCTTTCCCCCCCCCCACTCCCCCCGTTTGCCTCCATCTCGTCCTGTTCTTTCTCTTGGACCTCATCCCCATTCCCACGCTACAGAGGGACAAGAGGGAGGGCTCGGTGCCAAGTTTGGCAGGTTTCTCTAAGGCTGGGAAAGCAGCGCTGTGTTATAAGAGCAAAGGT